ACGTGTGTTTGGTGTCCCGTGATAGGTGAATGAATGACTCAGAAGCAGTCTGGCCCTGACGAACACGGGTGCATCATGGACTGTGTACACAATAAAGACAAAGATAACCACAAGTTAAAGACAGAGAATATCTGCCAGAAGGGAGGGCTGGGAGGTGGGTGGGTAGAGGTGGAGTGAAGAAATGGGAGAATGGCTCCATGAACCTGAAGATTCTTCACAGTGCTTAGTTGGATTTATTTATTCAACAGCATTTATTGAGCTTTTACACTGTTTTTGAGATACCTGGAGTTGAGAAGGTCTAGCTATGACTCAGAATTGAGAAGTCAGAAAAAAAAAAGTATACATTGGCCCTGGCCAGTGCAGCTCAGTTGGTTGAGTGTGGTCCTGTGCATGAAAGGCTGCTGGTTTGATTTCCAGTCAGGGCACATGCCCAGGTTGCAGCTCGGTCCTCAGTGGGGGTCAAGCAGGAGGCAGCCAATGGATGTTTGACTCTCACATCAATGTTTCTTTCATTAGCACTGTCCCTCTCTCTCTAAAAAATAAAATTCAATAAATTAAAAAAAATTATGCTCTAACCGGCTTGGCTCGGTGGATAGAGCATCGGCCTGCGGACTGAAGGGTCCCAGGTTCGATTCCGGTCAAAGGCATGTACCTTGGTTGCAGGCATGTCCTCAGTAGGGGGTGTGCTGGAGGCAGCTGATGGATGTTTCTCTCATCGATGTTTCTAACTCTCTATTTCTCTCCCTTCTTCTCTGTAAAAATCAATAAAAATATATATTTTTAAAAATTATACATGCAACTACATTAAAAATATTCGGCATGTTAAACTTGTAATATCAGGAGTAAAGTCAAAGACACACAATGTAGAGGAAAAATGTATTGCAACTAATATCATTAACAAGAGGCCAGCCTCTCTCTCTCTCTCTCTCTCTTTCTCTCTCCTCCCTCTTCTATCTATATATAAATTAAGAAGTTCAACAGCACAGTGGAAAAATGGGCAAAGAATATGAACACAGTTCAGGGAAATGAAATATGAATGACCCTTAAACATATAAAAAGATGCTTCATTTCTTTCAGATAACATAACTAAATTTTATTTTATGGTATTTTTTTTGTTGGAATAAAATGTACGCAACATTAAATTAACCATTTTAAGTGTACAGTTAGTGAAATTAAGTACTTTCACATTACTGTGCAACCATTACCACATTCATCTCCAGAACTTTTTTTGTCTGCCTTTCCATTTTTTTCAAAAAATGTTTTTGTTGATATTTAAAAACACACATATTTTTATTGATTTCACAGGGGAAGGGGTAGAGAGAAAATAATTGATCAGCTGCCTTCTACATGTCCCCTACTGGGGATCCAGCCCGAAACCAGGGCTTGTGCCCTGACCTGGAATCCAAATCTGACCTCCTGACCACACTCACTCACTGGGCCACACCTGGCCGGCTTCCTTTTCATTCTTTTCCCTTTAACAACTCCTCATTCCCTCCTCCCCCTGCCTCTGGCAGCCATCATTTAACTTTCTTCCTCTACATAATGTATTTTTCTTTCGTGGCCTGGACCTCTTTGAAAAGTGCAGCCCAGTGATCTTGCAGAATGTCCCTCAATTTGAATTCATCTGTCATCTCATCATGATTAGATGCAGGTTAAGTATCTCTGGCAGGAATATCACAGAACTGATGCTGTGTATCAGGAGGTACAAGTGGTGGTTTGTCATTAGTGGTCAAATTAATTTTGATTACTTGGTTAAAGGGATTCGCACAAGTTTTCTCCAGTTACCGTTTTCTCTTTGCAACGATTACGTAATCCGTGGATAGATATTTAGTGACTGTGTGATGTGCGCTCGGAAAGTCACAGAACCCTCCCAAGCATCACTTCCCCCATGGGGGGGAGGGGGACAGCGGCCTCTTAAACTCATATTAGAGTTTTAAAAAGGGAAAGTGCTAAAAAAAAATAGCTGCGCGAACGACGCCGGGGTTCGGGGCAGGGCCAGGCCAATGGCGTCTCGGGCAGGCCCGAGAGCCGCCGGCACTGACGGCAGCGACTTTCAGCACCGGGAGCGCGTCGCCATGCACTACCAGATGAGGTATGAAGCGAGGCAGAGTTTAAGAAAGTCCAAGCGGTCAAAAGTGCTCTGCTCCTGGCTGGCGGCAAAAAAACGCCCGGGACGGGGAGGAGGGGGCGAGGTCAATTTCTTGCTCCCCGCGCTGGAGAGGCTGCCGGGGCGGGGCGGGGCGGGG